ACACACACAAGTACAAACACGCACACTCAAATCCAGCTGAGACCCGCTGCAGCCCACTGTCGGTGTTTGAAACCGGGCGGCTACCGGGATTCACGCAGCTTTTAGGTAATGGGCACCAGAGTTGACACTCTGAGGTAAAGGGAGGAAATTCGCTGTAGCTACAGAGTTATGTGCGAACGGCGACACAGGCGGACAATTCTTATCAGCTGTCCGTACTGGTGGCAGATCACTTATGGTTTATAACCGTGTGCAATGACGCTAGTTCACATCTTCCGACTTTTTCTTTACACACACACACACGCACGCACACACACACACTCACACACTCGCGCACACACACATACATACTCGCGCACACACACACACGCACGCACACACACACGCACGCACGTAACCACGCGCGCGCACGCACGTTCGCGCGCGCACATACACACACACACACAGGAACAAACTGTTGGGTCTATGTTTAATGCCTTTGAAATGATGACATACTGTAGCCAGCACCTAATATCGAGACAATACAGATGTAAATGAAGATGTTTAAAACATGTACTGTACCGCTACATAATCGACCTTCCACACACTTATTCAGTAGTCAGTTCCTAGTTATGGTTGCTGAGAGGAAAACAAAGGTGGGGGTGGGGGGGGGGTGGTGTATAATTGTGGTGTCACATCGACTTCAAACTGAAAGTGTCAGCCTATGACATCAGGCTGTTTTCTAACTGTAACTTTCGTAGCATATTAGATTGTCAGGGACCCTTTCGGGCATCGCCGACAGAGTTGTTAAACATTACACCGTTAAAATATAAACAAACTTCAATCGCTGTAAAATCTCCATTTCTCTACTCCTGGAATGTCTCGCAGGGTACGGCAGGAAGAGCTCTTTAGAACGAGTCCTTCTGTTCGATTCGAATATAGTACAGCTCTTTGGAACGAGTCCTTCTGTTCGCTTTGAATATAGTACAGCTCTTTGGAACGAGTCCGTCTGTTCGCTTTGAATATAGTACAGCTCTTTGGAACGAGTCCTTCTGTTCGTTTTGAATATAGTACAGCTCTTTGGAACGAGTCCTTCTGTTCGCTTTGAATATAGTACTTGTCAGTGGTTCCGATATTTTTGCGGTCCATGTTCTGCGTGGTCGACCTCTGGTTCTGTTACCGCTGCACCTGGATAACATTGCTCTCTGTGATGCCCTGTCTAATTACAAGTTGTCCCCTTGTGTGATGCAATTTTTTGTTTTTGTTTTTTGGAGCCCCTCACTGTCTTTTGCCAGGGGCCCTGAATATAGCCCGGGCATAGATAAGGCCTAGCCATAAATATGGCCTAACGTTTGAAACGGATTTCTGGGACCTCTCCACAGGTGATCCTCATCCGCATTTTAGCACTTTGTGTCACCGGGTGTTTATCGCTTGTGTGATGTCTAGGTGGGGTTCAACTACCTACCTCTCTGCACTGTCTGATGCAAATATTGCTACATGGCCAAACTATTCGCTTTGTTGTCTACCGATAACGTTTTTTATTGATTCAGTCCTAACATAATCGTTCCTAAGTCGATTTTTTTTTCTTTTGGGATACAGCCGGCATTCTACGTACACAAATAATTTCTGTGGCTGCTAATTTTTTTTTTTTTTTTTTGCCATCTGAAGACAAAGTTTATGTTTGATGCTGACAACATGACATTCGTTACGAATGTTGTGTCAAACAATGCTATTTTAGTGTTGATATTCACGAACTATCATTTCAAAATAGATGCCATTTGTCCTATAACTTGATTTGCTTTATCGCATCGTTACTGTATTTCTGTATTCATTATTTCGCTTTCCTTATAACTTAGGTCTAGGAGAAACGACAAGATATTATTGAAGGCACGAATCCTTTAATATCGCTGGAAAAAAAATAAAATGTATAAAAAAAAGCTAAGCTGTCAGTCCTAAATACACTGTCTCTATCGTTCCCCATCTTCTTCTTCTTCTTCTTCACTTCCTCTTTTACCGCTGTGGGTGTCGAGGGAGATATAAGGTTCTGTTTCTAGCTCTTCTGGCTGCCTCGACCATAGGCACATCGTGCTGTTGTAGAGTTTCTCTGATGTTATCCTTCCATCTTGTTCTTGGTCTACCCCGTGCTCTACGTCCTTCTTCTCTTTCCATGTATGCTTTGTATGGTATGTTGTCACAAGGCATTCTCTCTAAGTGGGCAAACCATTTCACTTGCTGTCTTTGTATGTAATCCAGAATTGGTTCTGTGCCGACTTGTTCTCTTATGATCTCATTTCTGATCTTATCTCTTATGGTCACTCCTACATCTATCTCCATTATTTTCATTGTGTGTCCCCCTTTCAACAAGATGTTAAGCTGCACATAAGCATGACAAGCGCCTTTCAGAACACGCTATACAAATAGTCTTACACTTATAACTGAGTCCCCGCAGTGGTTAAGCTGTTTGCATTGTGATCTGAATTGTATATTTTCGTGTTTCGACTCAGTCGTTTGGTCTTTGACCGCAGGTGCTTTAGAGAACCATGATGGTCGTAGGTGGGAGCTGCAGAGTTCTTTATTTGTATGGTGTTCTTCATGGGCGATGCAAACGACCACTGAAGTGAGACAGGGTCATATGGGATCATCGTCATCGTCATTGTCTTATCGGGTCATCATATAGCACATAGGGCTTGTAGTCTATTCTGTCATTCTGATCTATTCTGCTGCAGTCAAATAAATATCATGGACAGAATCCCATCCTTTACCTTTGACCTCGCTCATCAGTGTTTGTTTTATGGTTTCTTTTGAGCGTCCTCGCTTCGTTAATTCCTTTGATCCTCATGTCAGTGCCTGTTCGGTGATTCTCTGCATGTTTAATCTCAGGATGTGTCCAGTGTAGCTTCATCGTATCTGTCTCATAACTGTTGGCTGCCCAGACATTTCTCACATGAAATCATCCTTCATGAATGACGGGATAAAATGCAGTAAATTAAACTATAACCTCTTTTCCTTAAATGTCCTTAAAATGAGCAGCAGTAACGTATTGGTTAAAGCACTTGCATGCAGAGGTGGTGATTGCTGTTGCTGGTGTTTGTGTGACCCTTCCAGGACTGCAGCCTGCAGGATATACACTCTTCTTCGTCCTCCTCCTTCTCCTGATCCTCCTACGATACCATATCCTCCTTCTTCTGAGGAGACTAGAATCAAACAGGTTCTACTCCCCGAAAGCCCCGTTCAGTTATCTCTAGATCCCCGGCGACTGCGCAGTAACCTTAAGTCAAGAGCTGGTGTCGAATATGGATGGAGTCGATGATTAGTGTTCAATGAATGTGCAAGTAGAAAAGGGACCAAAAAAGAATGTTTAGGACCCTCGTTACGCAAATGGTACCTCCGGCACATGACGCTAAACTCCTTTGTTAAGACCAACTGGACCTCAATGACATATGTGGTCAGCATCACGCCAGTTGCAATCACTGTATTCAGGGTATTCCTAAATGTGCTCTGTTCCCTTCTGCGGTAGCAAACGAAGAGTTGCCATACCTACAGCGACAGTGGCAACATGAATAAATCCGCCTGTCCTTTCTCTTGTGCTTTGAAAACCCTCTCTAGTCTCTGCCTGCTCCTCGCTGAAACCAACGAACGAGCGAGCGAACCAACGTTATTTTCAAAGGGTCAGAAATTAGGCACGCAGGCCCGTCTTAGATTCGCCCCTTCCAACACACCCATCTTTCACACAGCAGCTGTATTTTATCAATAAAGCATGTTATGTTCATGTAATAATACGCATATTATGAATATGAAGTCAAAAACAAAAGCATTAGTGGTTAAAAGCATGCGCACGATTGTGCACGCACACACACACACCCACAGCCTTTCGAGGTATGTACTTCGTCTAAATGACTTCATAAAAGAATAACTGGGTAGATCATCATCATCATCATCATCATCATCATCACCACCATCATCTCATAACACCACGTGTCGATGGATTACCAGCTGCTGTTGACATATGATCAGTTCCATCTTTTTGTTTGCTGAGGTTTGTCTATTCAGCCAAATCACTAATTTCTTGGTCTGCTTTTTGTCATCTTCCCCTTCACTAAGCCATTAATAAATGGTTGGACTGATATGTGAACTGGTGAATAAGGGATAGATGATAGATTAATGGATTATAAATGGATGGATGGATGGATGGTTTGATGGATGGATGGACGAATGGAATAATGGATGTATGAATGAATATAGAGATGGGTGAGTGGGTCGATAACTATAGGGATGGATTGATGAATGAATAAATGGATCGATCGATGGGTGGATGGATGGATATAGAGATGGATGGGTGGATGGATAACTATGGGGACGGATGGATGAAGGAATAAATGGATGGATCAATGGATGGGTGGGTGGATAACTATATGGATGGAGGGATGGATGTGTGAACTGACTAACAGTACTGCACTGAAAATTCCCAGACTTGCCCTGTCTCCATTTATAGTAACCAGAGACCAGTTTCTAGTTTAATAGTGCCAGTATAAGCTTGATTGATAGTTACATAATGGTGGGTTGCCATTAACTATAGTTTTCAGTGGTAAGCTTTTTATTCCGTTTGTGTGATTTATAGAGTGTCTGGTTTTATTTTATTTAAATAACTAATGCCCTGTTTTTGCTTACGATACCTATTGTTTTTGTTTCTCTTTTAATTATTCTTGTAACCTTTGTGATTTATTTCCATTCCTCAGATATGAACGGCAACATGGACACGCCAACATTGATGGCCCAATTTAAGTGAATCAAGCCATTTCTAAGACAGATTTCGGTATTTTGTTTAAACAAACGCCACAGCAAAAGAAACCAGAGAGGCCTAAGTATATTTAACATAGTGAAATAATAGACAGCTTGAGCAACCTAACGTACACAAATACGTACACCAACAACATCGTGCACAAAACATTCGAAACAAACCAGTTAAACTCCATAGAATAACCTTCAACCAAAATCGGCCAAACGTAATTAAATAATCACAGAAAATGGCAAACAACACCACCGAATCAGCAGAAGATGAATCCATAAGGTCGACAGCAGACGCAGTTGACAGAGTGTCTGTCTGGTTTTGCTTGGCAACAGGGATCCCCGGAAATCTCTTTATTTTCTTAACCGTCAGGTCTTTCCCGTGCTCGGTCACCACGTTCCACTACCAGCTTCTTTCAGTGATGGATACCACAGCTCTGATCCTGCAGGTGACCATCAGAGGTGTGGATTGGTACGACTTCGCTACAATATCCAGCTCCTACGTTGGCTATGGATGGAAGGTTTACTTCAACGTTGCTTATTTTACAAGCATATACGCCAACTGGGTTTTAGTGTATATTGCCACGGAGCGACTCATTGCCTTGAGATATCCCTCACAGATTCATATTTACGTGACTATATCTAGAGCCAAGGCCAACGCTATCCTCACGGCCATTCTTATAGCTTCATTTTGCGTGATTGTTATAGTTAAGATGGATTACTTCGCCATCGCCTGGCTGGTTGTGTTTACGACGTTTTATACTGCTTTCCCCTTAGGAATTGTTTTCATGATTATTTGGCTGCTGTTGGGTACCATGGAAGAGCGGAGACGACAGAAGAAGGTCTCGGAGAAGGAGAAAGAAAAGCATCCTCATCATCACCATCACCATCATCATAAAGATAAGGATGGGCATAAAGCGTCGTCAGCTGGGCATACTCCGACGGATACAGACAACCACACATCGGCGAGTAGTCAAACAACTACAATATCGAAATCTACCAGTGGGCTGTCCAAACAAAGCGGAGGAGCTAGCAAACACGGACCGGCCAAATCTGCTAGTCACAACACCATGGTGCTTTCTTTCACGACCAGCTCAAAGAAATCAGAGAATTCCACCCCCGAGGTGGATCCAGAAGCGCAGGAGATCTTAACCATCAAAGCTCAGGAGAAGAAAGATATGGAACGGTGCTACACTTCAATGATGCTGGCCTTGTCTGTAGCCTTTGTCCTTCTAACTGTGCCCTATACCGTGATAGAGTACATCTATGTGGCTGCTAATCGAGAAATCACAGATATATTTGACGAGAAGCATACGAAGATGTACCTTCTGGTAATGATAGCCCTCTGCCTGATGTACTTTGAGCATTCCTGTAATTTCTACATCTTCTTTCTGTGCTCGTGGAAATTCCGTCAACAGTTTTTACGCGTCATAACGAGAAAGCCCACTTCTGATGTTCAGGATAGCGTCACAGATATAGAACAATCCAAATCTTTTGTTTAGAACAGTACGACTTTTCCCCATGACGCGCCACACGAAATGTCTACCAGTTCATCAGTCCAAAATGTGCCCTCAGAATCGTTTCTGGCTAAAAAGAAATGGTGCTATCTGCCAGATTTTAAACCAGCGAGCACTTTGAGATTCATCACTGTGAAATATTCGAGTGAAATATTATTACTGAGAGTCTGCTAATTTTAAGGTGGTACCATAAACCAAAGCCACGCTATGCTGTTGCATCTGAAAGTATTTCTGGTTGAAAGGTGATGTTACACGAATTAGTTAGTCTTTATGAAGATCCTGGTTGGTGTAAAGCCAAGAAAGAGTTCCATGTGATTTTTTAATTTTTTTTTATTTTATTTTATGTATATTTAAATTTGTGTTACAGTTGGTGATGTTATTTATTTCCGGATTTAGTTATCGTCGGGGGCGCTACCACAGATTAATCTGTGGGAGCTCAGTCACCTCATAATTAAAAGTGAGGCGGAGTTCATAATACCTGGGTTATCTGAATGGTGATGTATCTTACTGTAGACTATAAGCTAAATGTACGTGTTGGTAAGTTACCGCTCATTCTTTATAGATATGTCAGTAGGTGATCTTTACTTCAGTATTTAGTTGCATGATACCTATCACCTATAGTGCGTTACAGAAGTTGTGACCAACTTTAAAAATCTCTAGCTCAGTAACGGTTCGGTGTGAGTTGCCGAAGTTTGGCATTTCCTTGTGTGAATGTTTTTGTTAATGTAAACAAACATCTAATTTTCATTTTGCCTACATTGCGGTATATGAACAAACAGACATCGACAGAAAGTAGTGATCCTGCTTACAGTTAACTGAGTAACGGAAACTTCACAAAACATCAAACTCATGAGGTGGCCTTTATCGATAGCCTCCAGTGAAGAACAACATTTTTCTTTGTATGCCCGATAAGCATTCAAAATAATCACCAGCAACTGCTGCACATGTGAACTGATTTTCAAGCAATCTCCACACATATGTCAGTTACTGTATACTTTATCTCTTAGAGGCCCACATATTATAACTAAAACAAAGACTATATAAATTTACCGCTTTAAGAAAAGAGCAGCAACTGTTCAATTGTAAATTATAAAATCATAAGGGCATGTGAAATCTACGTGCACAAATTCGTGTTGATCCGTTCAGATATTTTCGAGGTATTTGTTATAGTTTAAGGGCTCAACTTTTGGAACGCACTATATTGGTGAGGTATATCACTGTAGGTACGCACTATATTTTTGAGGTATATCACTGTAGGTACGCACTATATTGGTGAGGTATATCACCGTAGGTACGCACGATATTGGTGAGGTATATCACTGTAGGTACGCATTATATTGGTGAGGTATATCACTGTAGGTACGCATTATTTTGGCAAGGTATATCACTGTAGGTACGCACTATATTGGTAAGGTATATTACTGTAGGTACGTACTATATTGGTAAGGTAAATCACTGTAGGTACGCACTATATTGGTAAGGTATATCACTGTAGGTAGAGTGCTAAATGTATTTATAGGTTATTACGGTATGCAGCGAAGTTTTAGATTCCAATCCGCGTTAAGTTAGGTAATGTTCTCTGAAGTAAAGGCGACAGGATGTGTAACGATATTCGTCGAAGCATATTACAGTTTATACCAACAACAACAAAATCCATTAGGCCTCATTAACTTGCATAGCCGCTTTGTGATTAGTCAGATGTGTTGTGTAACTTTTAAAAATGTTGCAGTAAATTCTGTAAATAGCGCCTTTTTTTTGGGGGGGGGGGGTATAGTACAGCTATCATTTAAGGGTACGTTGTTAATGATAATTTCTGAAAAGTGAACGATAATAAATTCCTTATTTTACATTATTTTTTTTTTTTTTTTACTGTTCCTCGGAAGTAAGAAAATATTACTAATTGTTTTTTGGCATATACATCTTGTTATATATATCATTTGTAAAATATTACAATAGACACCAACTTCATTAACGTGTTACTATTCTCGAAAAGGCATAATGCAGTGGTTCCCAAACTGAAAAGACTGGCATACACCTTTTAGTTTTGAAAGTCTGTCAAGGATCCTCTAAAACAAAAAGAGTAAATCTTTACTAGAATCACAAAAACGAGGATATTTCTTTTTTTTTTTTTTTTCCTGAATGATATCACGAGGTTCAAGGTACACATGTTGGGAACCACTAGTATAATGTATTATCTCAGTGATTCCCAAACTGTGCGCTGCGGCAACCTCTTCACTTCCGCGAAATATTGTAAAAGTTTCATAATTAATTAAACCAAGACGTAAATAGCGGCGTCCGTGGCTAGGGCGTTGCGAGTCCGACTCGTAATTCCAACGTACCGCGATCGAAACCCACTGCTGGCTGCGTGGATTTTTGTCATGGTAAGGGGCGTCGCAGGTCGACGCAGCCTAAAATGGATGGCTATTATGGGGAGGTAAACACGGCTGGCGTAATGCTGACCATATTACCCACCTAGTGCCGATGATCTGTAAAAATATGGTGCTTTTCCCATAAACCCGTACAACTTAAGACGTGAAAAGGGATCTTTACTAAGACATAATTAGTTATACTTTTACTAAGGTTATGGCGCCGAGGAAAATTTTGTATTAAAAAAAAAGGCGCCGCGACCAACACAAGTTTGGGAAACACTGTATTATCTGGTGATACATGTTATCACAGAAACACTTGTTTGTTGTTGAGTTCTGTTACTCAAATCTAGCATTCATTTTCTGTTGCATTTTTTTCCTTGTGAAAAGGCGATACTGCTCTCTGACGACTTGTATTAACTAAGCACAGATTTATTTGTTCTTGTTGACGTTACCGATATTGTTGGCAATTTGATTTTGCTGTTTTGTTTTTGAGTGTCTCAGCTGGGTTTTTGTTCTTTGAATGAAACAGCTGGGTTTTTGTTTTTAAAATACAACAGCTGGGTTTTTGTTTTTGAATGACACAGTTCGGTTTGCGATTTTCAATCACACAGCTGGGGTTTTTGAAAGTTTTCTCATACACTGGTGTTTTAAACAAAAGTTTTAGTCTTGGATTGAAAACGTTGACATAAAGTGTTAGAAATATTAGACATCCTTCCTGTTCAGTCATATGAACACTATTGAATGACATCCTTCCCGTTCAGTCATATGAACACTATTGAATGACATCCTTCCCGTTCAATCATATGAACACTATTGAATGACATCCTTCCTGTTCAGTCATATGAACACTATTGAATGACATCCTTCCCGTTCAATCATATGAACACTATCGAATGACATCCTTCCCGTTCAATCATATGAACACTATCGAATGACATCCTTCCCGTTCAATCATATGAACACTATCGAATGACATCCTTCCATTACCAAAACGACCTGATATCCTGCGTAGGATGGGATAAGGGGTAGTTATGATCTAAACAATTACTTGGAATAAGTAATTTAGAAGATTATTTACGAAGTGCAAACAAAAGAAGAAAACACAGCAAAGGAACAGAACTGAAAGAAACAACAATAGCAGATGGAGTCAAGGCAGAAGAAAAAAATATAATGAAAAGGAAAAAAAAAAGCATATTAATCGACAAAATGTGAAAAAAAAAAAGCGGAAGGGACAGAAGCACACACGATACACAACAAGAAAAGCAAAAGAAGATACAGCAGAAGAAACATCTACAGCAGAAACACAAGTAGAAGAATGAAATCAAAAAAAGGAAACAGAAGAAACAAAAGCAGACTAACAAACGGGTCGCAAATACTAAAGTAAACGAAACGGAAGCTAAAGGAAATTGTTAAAAGTAGAATTAGAAGCATAAGAAGACATAGGAGAGGGAACTAGGGAAAAAAAGGTAAATTCGAATGCAGGTGTGGTAAATAAAGGGTGAATAGACACGCGCCATAGAAAACAATAAATACATAAGAAGAATAGAGAATAAATGAAAACAGCAGACACGGAAAAAATATTTTTAAATAAGCATCGGAGAAAAAAAAAAATAGAAAATTATAGCAGTAGAAAGAAAATCAAAGAGACGAAGGCGATATAATTTCATAAGAAATTAATATAGAAGAAACAAAAACAGCTATGACAAAGGTATGTATGTGCACAAAATCCATAAGTGAAGAATCAGGCAGAAACGACAACAAAGCCAAATGATGTGCAGTCAGTTTCGGGCCGACTGCATTTCATCATCATCATCATCAGTCACCAGGGTCGTTGCATAATGTCGCTCTCATCAAGGCTCGCCTGAACGTCTTCCTTTCTCTAGCCAGTTCTCAAGCCCCATGTTCTGTAATAGGCAATGCGTCTTCAATGTCAGGCATCCACCATAGCAGAGATCGGCCACTGCATTGTTTTAGGAAACGGTACGCTTCATCACTATGTGGTGTGTGAGCGCGCACGCGCGCCCGCGCGTTTGTGTATGTATGTCAAATACGTTTTGTCAAAATATATCCGCTTTTGGGACATGATGCTGTTTTTGATCCAATTCTCCTTGGTGTTTAGATCCCAAAGGATGTCGGTGTTTTAACTTTTTCATGGTCCGTGGTTTTCTCAGAATTCTTCTATCAGATTTCGACTGAAAAGCTCTGATTGTTCTTCCTTTTCAGTTATTGAGTAAACCTCAGTGACTCACATCGACTGCGTTGACTCCTCATAAAATTATAGACTAGACCTACTTAAAAGCCAAAGGTAAATGTCATTCTAAATAAACTCCTATCCCTCCGTTTTTATTTGTCTCCACAGTTAGGGATTTGAATATATTACCACTAGGCTGTATGTAAGCATGATAGGTGCTGTGAAATTGTGGCTCTAATAGATATGCTTCAGTGGCGGCTTGTGGATAGATACTGCGAACTGAAGCTTCTTATCTCAGTCTCGTAAGTATGCGCACACTTGTTGAGCAAATCGTTCGGCTGTTTGTCGCAGGCGCACAAGAAGCTGCAGTTCCACACTGATTACCCACTAGCAGCCACTTTTGCTTACTAAAAATGAATCAAAAT